CTCTCTCTCTCTCTCTCTCTCTCTCTCGCTCTCTCTCTCTCGCTCTCTATCTCTCTCGCTCTCTCTCTCTCTCTCAATGGATTCTTGCGGCGGAGAGGAAACGCTCGCGCACACGCGCCCCTCCTCTCCGGTTTCCTCGCGCTCTCGTTGTTTTATTCTTGCTGCAGTTTCCCGTTTTCCCCGGTTGAGCACGAAGCGCTTTTAGCGTGTGACTCGGGGACAGGAACCGAACGCAAGATTGCGTCTGGCTAAGAGTGTATTTTTATGGCGACCGGGAAACGCCAGCATGTGACGAGCCAATAATGAGTTTGGAGAAAAACAGACGCGACTTTAGAAGCTGAAAGGCCGAGTGTGCTGGAAACCTGCGCGGATCCGCTCATACAGACATGTCGACACGAGGAGTCGACCAGAGCATAATTATTGATTATGTGGTTCATATGCGGTACAGTTTGTTCCTGCTGGATTTGTTCCAGTGGAAAACGAAGCCGAGGCGCGTCTGTGGCGTTTGCGCGACATCTGGCGGCCACATGATGCCACGACACGAACATAATACAGTCTCACATGCGCTTCATGAATTCTGTGTTCATGATTGTTCTTAGTTTAGGAGTAAGCGGGCATCTCAGTTACAGGCAGCCATGTGTGATGGACTCACACTCACTTAAAACTGACCCCACTTCAGATCTCTTAAGATGAAATCACCTGTGTCCTGTCTAAACGACTACCGTCCCATAGCACTGACTCCAATCATGATGAAGTGCTTTGAGAGGTTAGTCATGCACAACATCAAAACCAGCCTCCCCAACACACTCGATCCGCTCCAGTTTGCATACCGTCCAAACCGCTCTACAGACGATGCAATTTCCTCCACCCTCCACCTGGCTCTTACCCACCTAGAAAATAAAGACTCCTATGTTAGAATGCTGTTCATCGACTTCAGCTCAGCATTCAACACAATAATCCCACAACAGCTCATCAATAAACTAAACCTGCTGGGCCTTAGCAATTCCCTCTGTAATTGGATCCTGGACTTTCTATCTGGAAGACCTCAGTCAGTCCGTGTCGGCCACAACACCTCGAGCACTACCACACTGATCACAGGTGCCCCACAAGGCTGTGTGCTCAGCCCGCTGCTCTTCACGCTGCTGACCCACGACTGCACTGCCAAGTTCAGCTCCAACCACATCATCAAATTCGTGGATGACACAACAGTGGTAGGTCTCATCAGCAACAGCGATGAAACGCACAACAGAGAGGAAGTGGCAAAGCTGGCTGAATGGTGTGGCACTAACAACCTGTCCCTCAATGAAACTGGACTTACTCTAAACACTCCAGAAACTGACTTTCTATAAATAAACACTGAGAAATATTCACTGCAGCAAAAAGTGTGACAACAACAATTTCTAGAATAGCCTTTGTTGTTGTGATGCATGTCGAATCTCACTGAGGCCACATAACTGGAGTTCTGGAGCTGAATCTCTTGAACAACTCACAAAAAGAGTATAATGTATATAAGTTATACAGTTATATCTTCTGGTTAACAATTGGTGTGCTTAATTTGTAGTGGTATGTGTTGTATAAAAGCAATAAGTCATGCATTCTTTTCTTTTTAATGTGGCAATTCCAGTTTGTAATTACAATGTCAAGTAATATTGATAATAAAAGCTAATATTGTGCGTCAGAACAGTAGCTCTGGTTTACTGTCACAAGCCTAATGCTGATATCAAGTGTCATCAAAACTAATTCAGGTGCCTCTGAACTAAACTCTGAACTCTAAACTCCCATCAGTTCAAATGCTGGGCATGTGTCTGTGTCTAGGCTTAAATAAACTTTTAATGAAATGAAATCAAATTGATGAATACACAGGAAAAGCTCAACTGGATCAGTGTGTGTATAAAAACACAGAAGGATTCACTCTAAATTTGAAGTTTTGGCGAGTCCACTGTAATGAAAGAGTGTTTTGGTACACAGACTGACATATATATCGCTCTATAGAGTAGTTATGACGGTCAGGGGCTCTTATTTCGTTCCCCACAGCTTGTCTGTGGCAGAGAGCCAGAAATGTGTATTTGCAAGATGTTACAGTAGATTTACTCATTTGTTCCTTGCATCAGCTGTTTACGTGAAGCTCTGCTCGCAGCCTGCAGTTACATCACGAAACTTTGATTGTGGAACTTTTTCTTTTCTTCAGCCAATAAAAGACCAGTTCTATTTGTTGACCCAAAAGAACCGCCACAATTGGTTGTGTCCGAGCGTCCCACCTCTGTGTCCCGCGGGAGAGACACTAAACTAAAGACTCGTCTAAGTTGGGTGATGGTCAGACAGACTCTGGCAGAGATATTGTGAGGATGGAAGCAGGACGCCTCTGTATTGAGCGAGCAGTGGGTGAGTTATCTGAGAGATACTGGTAATTGGTCTTACTGGGGTCATGACATGCCTTTATTATTTTAATACGTTCATTGAGTTTTTGCACATAAAACAGTCATATATTTGCAAAAACTATGATTTTCAACCCTCGTCCTGAGCCTGTGAGTTTTAGAGCTGCGTCTCATTAAAGGTTTGTCAGCAAACAGCCGCTGTTATGATTGGCTAACATCACTGCACAGGGGAAATATCCACAGTCCCGCTGTCGCCTGCGTGTAATAACCGTATGTCAGGGGCCTCATGGAGGGCCGCTGTCTGCAGAGTAAGAAATCTGATTCGAGATAAATATGTTTTGACCAGACAAAACTGCATGCACTATATCTCTACTCAGCTCGTCCTGATGCTACAGTATGAAGTACACATGAATATTAATGCAAATACATGTGTGATTTAAAACAGACAGTCAGATCTGGGGTGGGGGTCACAGCAGCCACTACAGCGCTTATGTTTTATTTATTTTTTCCTGTTTATTCGAAACATTCCCAAACGCATTATCATGAAATATCTTGATTGTCACCTTTATAGATTATGTTGATCTTTAGTGGGCGATGGTCAAATTAACCTAATAATATAGTCTATTAACTATGCACAATAACCTGTTTACTTAATGAACAGATATGGGTGTCATGCCATAACATTTTTAATACGACTGACTTCATATTTAATATGAATTTAACATTGAAAGTTAATGTGAATAAAAACATGGCAAGTTAGGCTACTAATCATAACACTTTCATTACAGAACGAGAGCATTTACATGATCAAAGAACATTTTCACTGACAGTCTAGTTCAAAAACTCCCATTAAAATCCCTGAAGCTGTTTACACTGTGAAATTAATATCTGACAGATTCATACACACATTTGCACTTTGTTGACCAGTGTTGCTAACTATGTTTCAGGGGAAGTTGCTAAAGGAAGGTCGATTTGTTGCTAAAAGTTACTAAATGACATTGTGACGTCATTGCACGGTGACATTATTACGTAATTATGACGCAAAATTACATTAAATTAGATTTGTTCATAAAATAATATAACGTAGGCTAATATAATATTAAAATATAACGGTCTTTTTAAATACAACATTGAATTATTGAACACTTGCACATTTTTGAACAATTACAATTTAAGTTTTTTTATTCGCTAGTAAACTAGTAAAACTACACATTCTCAACAATTATAGCTTTAAGCAGTGTATCAGCAGTTAGTTCGTATTAAAATAGGGCACAATCTACTATGAAGGAATTTTCCATATTGACTTTTCACAGGTTTTGTTTACCTGCATTTTAAATTACGCATTGCATTTTGTGTTTTCGGGTTACAGGGTTACAATAGATATCAGATAATGTCCTGGAAAATAACTAGTACCTTTTCCATTTTTCTAGATATTTTTCTTACAGTGAACTAACTTATCAACAATCACAGGAAGCTACTAACAAGGTGTATCATAAATGAGCAATTATTCAAATATTCAATTATTATTATTAAATTAAACAATTGCTAATAGCAGCTAATTTAATTCATGATGTGTGTACTGCTAGGCATCTTTGGTTTCCTCGTTTTGTGTGATTTAGATAAAAAATGTGTGCCTTTTTATCGTTTGAGTCACTTATCAAAAGTTGCTAAAAAGTTGCCAAATAAAATTTTTAAATAGCTACATTTGTTGCTAGGTGCTTTTGGAAGAAAAGGTTGCTAGGGTAGTGTGAAAAAAATTGCCAGGTTGGCAACACTGGTGCTGACTCATCTGAACGCCTCTGATTGGTCATTGCATTGAAAGCTCAACAGAATCGTGTGTGATTGGTTATGAATGATTACAGGCGTCAGTGCTGGTTAAACTCATGGCATTAACAGCCCACAAGATGGAGTATTGCATTACAGCAGACCAGTGGTGTGGATGTGCTGCTCTGGTCCATGAAACACCTCACAAACTATCCAAATGTTACACCACACATGAGACGAGCTTGCAAATCAAGCTGTAATATGGTGATTATATTTCTAGTAAATGTAGGCTCCCTGCTGTTCTTATATGTGATCCTTTGGAAATGAAAGCTGATGCAATACAGGCTAGTGGTGGTCTGAATCAGGTGTGTTAAAGCTGCAGTCCGTAACTTTTGGCGCTCTAGCGGTTAATAAGCAGAACTGCGTGCGTCTTGCGGAAGAACATTGTAGCCGGAGCTACTTCTCTCTGTTTATGTCTATGGCGCACCTACCCGAACCAGTCTAAAATAGTCCGAATATAAACACTTATTATAGGTGTACTGTAGTGATTCAGGACAAGCCAAAAACACGGTTTGGAAAATGGATTCATGGTGTGCTCGCTTATTATATGTTGTAATTTTGAACACAAAAAAAGTTTTAAATAAGTGAGACATGCTAAATACGCATAGCATTGGTACACGAGGACTGGAATTGAGAACCACTGGTCTAAAGCAGGGCCCCGAGATCTGCTTTCCTGCAGAGTTTAGCTCCAACCTGGATTAAACACACCTACCTGCAACCTTCGAGTGATCCTGAAGACCTTGATGAGCTTGTTCAGGTGTGCTTGATTAGGGTTGGAGCAGAACTCTGCAGGAAGGTGGATCTCGAGGTCCAGAGTTGAGGAGCTCTGGTCTAAAGCAGTGGTTTTCTGGAGTCCCCAGGCCTGCTCATTTTGTATGTCTCCCTCGTCTAACAGCTCATTAGTGGAGAATGCAAGAGCTGAATCGGCTGATGAGGGAGTCAGACAAAAAGTGCAGGGCTGCGAAGCCTCCAGGACAGGTTTGAAAACCGCTGCCTTAGCTACATTTTTGTTTTTAGATTTTGAAGAAAGTAGCTAATGCCTGCTGGTTACGTCACTTAAAAAGTCTTGTGTATAGGCCTACATGTCATCATGTGCTGACTACAAACACAAATAAAGAGAACGACAAACAGCTAAATAGTGGTGTGATAACACATATTTAATTTTATCCATGTTATAGTTCATCCGCAACAACATTGTGAACTTTTATAAAGAGACGTACAGATACATTTGGCCATCAACTCATCATTATGCAAAATCACAAGCAGGTTTTCTGTATGAAAGACTCGTGACTGGGAGATCAATGTGCTGCTTTCTCTTTTCTCCCCAGTACAATAGTAAGAATGTTTGAGTACAATACAACTCCGTTCTTTTAATTTGATGTATAGTGACGGGGCACATGTAACATTTTTACATGTGCATTTTTATGACGTGGTAGTTTGTCCCCAAACCTGCTCACTCTTCTGCTACACACTCATAAGCATATAAGCTTTCCTTCACAAAAAGAGTACATACTTTTAGGGTGTAGTATAAGAATTGGGATGCAGCTGGGTTTCAGCAAATGCTCTTTTGCAACTTACAGTATGTCTTTATAGGACAATGACCTCTTATATGTGAAAAGATCAAAGACAGCTGCAATCCTCATTAGGGCTGTCAAAATGGCTGAAAAACTAAATTCGAATTTTCTACTTAAATATCAAAATTCGAATTATATTCGAATTTAAAATTCATAATTTCAGTTAGGGTGAAGAAAAGCTTTTGGCTTCTGAGGCCACAAGAGGGCGCATCTAAATGCACGTTTATTCAAAGCATAAGATAACATGACTATCTGTGAAAAAAAGTGCATAATGTTTAAAATAATGTTTATAAACCAATTATAATTAAGTTGCTTAACTATAAACAAAACAGCATCATTCGTTTTTTTTTTTGACAGCCCTAATCCTCATGACCCCTTTAACCTGATTTGATGAGGTTCTCAGAGACAAACTCTTGAAATCATTGTCGGAATAGCTTGGTTCACTTCATTCTGGTGCAGAAGTATTTAAACAAACACATTATAATGCAACGACACTCACATCGTCATCGCATCTCGTGCGCCGCTGATAAGCTGCCTCCTTAACGCACACCTAAAATTCAAGTGCAACATTTTTGCATTCGAATGTGGATTCTTATTTTAAATTTGACGAATATTCTAAATTCGTTTTTTTTTTTGACAGCCCTAATCCTCATGACCCCTTTAACCTGATTTTATGAGGTTCTCAGAGACAAACTCTTGAAATCATTGTCGGAATAGCTTGGTTCACTTCATTCTGGTGCAGAAGTATTTCGAGTAGATCTTGAGTTCATGTTGATAACAGTTGTTCTCGTCTGCAGCTCGTTTCATCATCATGGCAAACACCTCGGCTCTGAGTCTGAACTCCAGCGTCACTGGGTGGCGTCGTCCGCTGTGGTACCAGTATGAAGTGTGTGCAGAAGCTCCTCATTGGTTCATCTTCTACTTTGGAGTCAAAGTATTGAACCTGGTTGCAGGCGTTCCCCTGAACGCACTGGTGTTGTGGCAGATTCTGAGGAAGAAGAGCGAAGGCTCAACATCCGATGTCTTCATTTTTAACCTCTCTATCCTGGATGCCTATTTCGGCCTCATGACGCCGGTGGATATGGTCAACCGGCTGTACTTCAACAACGCGTCCGTCTGGTACTCTCAGCGTTTCGCCTACGGACTCAAAGACGTGACTCCGTTGTTTCTCACCTGTATTTGTCTGGACAGGTACATCGCTGTGGTCCATCCCATCCTCTTCACCGGGACCCGTGACACTCGCATCCGGATCGGCGTCTCGGTGCTGGTGTGGGGACTCATCCTAACCTACTCTCTGACCAAATGCATCTTAGGCATCCTGAGCGTGAGCGAGGTCTTCAGCGGCATCATCCTCTCGGCCTTCTTCATCATGGTGTTCTGCAACCTCTCCATCATCTGGTGTTGTGTTTGTGTCAGATAACCTGATTCTTTTACTTCTCACAGATTAGATACCAGCTTTCCAGATGCATAATTAAGAACATTAACGAGTCACCAATTAAGACGTTAATTAAAATGCCTGGGGATTAATTAAGAACGGACTGAGGTGACGCAGATGGTATGAGCTTGTATGTGTGTAACTAGATGATGCTACGAGATTAATTAACATGAAAAACATTTACTGTGAGCTTGTGTTGTCATTGATCTCGGACTGCTAGAGCTGGTTTAATGACCAGAGCAAAAAAAGACAAGAAATATCAATAGTTGCTGTATTTTTGATGCATAAAGGAACTCCAAAAATGATATACTTACTTGTCTGTGTTCACTTATTCTTGGCTAATCCAGTGGATCCCAAACGGTGATTTGTGACCCAAGCATGGGCCTCAGATCCATTGTGATGGGACACTTGACAAATAATACAATAAAACTAACCATATATAATCATTATGACAGCAAGAAAGTCAAGTCAAGTCAAGTCAAGTCTGCTTTATTGTAAAGGGAGGGAATTCAACAGATAAATCTACATGGACAGGTTGTGTGACGCTTCGTCTTCAAACACTATGAACAAAACTACAAAAAAAGTCAGAAAATACAGCCCAGACAACATTAAATACATACATACATTTTCTCTCAGTCAGGATGAAGATGGTTTGAGTTGAACACACTGTTTGTCCAGTGAACTACTCACTGCGGAGAGAATAAAACCGTTTGGCAACCAAAACCACTTTCCTATGAAGCTCATGATGATAATTCTGTATCTCACTGGGCCTGTTCAGGGTCTACGCACTGTAAGATTAATAGATTTCAATGTTCACTTTTGTAAATCCCTGCATTGTGTTGACTCTGTCTTGACTTTATAAAAAACCAGTTGAGAAGCACTGATTTAACGAAGCGCTCATCATTAGCATGCTGACTTTATGAAACTGAGCTGGTTGTTGTGTTTTCTGTGTGTCGTGTTTCCCCAGACATCTCATGTTTGCCTCTTTCTTAGCTGCTCATTCGTAACGTTAGATCCTCGTGACTCTTTTCTGATTGATCGTCAGACTCTGGGAAGATCGGGCTACAGCGAACGGAGCCAAACTTCCCTCTATTCTCCTCACTGTTGTGTTTCTGTCTGATTCTTTTATTTCTCAGATTAGATACCAGCTTTCCAGATGCATAATTATGAACATTAACTAATCACTAATTAAGATGTTAATTAAAATGCCTGGGGATTAATTAAGAACGGACTGAGGTGACGCAGATGGTACGAGCTTGTATTTGTGTAACTAGATGATGCTACGAGATTAATTAACATGAAAAACATTTACAGTAAATGGTCACGTGAGCTTGTGTTGTTGTCATTGATCTCAGCTAGATATGATTACATTAGGACACAAAATATGAATATTAGCTAGATGTGTGATACATAAAAGAACTCCATAATTAACATACTTACATGTCTGTGTTCACTTATTCTTCCCTTCTGAACTATAGCAGCTGCATGTTTGTAAATACTCTGAAATACTCTGATTTATCTTCTGATTTAACACCGGTTGGCAGAAAGCTCTATAAACAAGTTTATGAAAAAATCATTAAAACATTCCCAAAACCCAATGGCTTTACATGAAAGGAACTCAAAAGTATGTAAATGAGCACATGAATACTGCCTCAGAATGAAAGTCTCCTCTCACAATTGTGTATATAGTTATTTCTTCCATTACTTTAAACAGCTCTGATTAAATTGATTAGCGCCGGGTAACTCTGGTGCAGATCTCTTGTAACGTAACCCGGATAGCGGTCAAAGAACTCCGGAGCTGGACAGCTGAGGCTCGTCTCCGCTTCATCAGGTGCTGAGACGAGTGGAATCAGTTTAGCATGAGAGTAATCTATTTCAAAGCCCTCAAAAATAAGCCCCACCCCCCCAGGCGCCAAGTCCCGCCTCCAGAAGTCCGAACACCTTTTGGGTCGCCAGCGCCAGCTGTCGGTAGTCGCCCTTATATAAAACTCCCCTTTCACTCAGCATCTGTGAAGTGGAGCAGCACAACGTCCCACCAGTCCTTGTTTAAGACTCATCCACAGGCGACTGGTTTTGGGTGCGGGAAGGGGCACTTTTACTGCTTTATAAAGTAAGCAGCACAGCACAACAGTTCATGTGCTGGTCGTCGCCTAATTAGGACCCGAAGTAGATAAATATCACGTGTGCTTTTTAAAACAGTCTGCGACAACAGCTGGAAACTCTGTATATTCATGCAGTGTGCGCATGCCAAAAGAGTAAATCAGATCAGAAGCTTGTGACATATAAACGCGCATATCAACCCGATCACTTTATTTAACGTTCATGTAAACACTACATTCGGATTCGTCAATCAGAATGAATTCATTCCAATGGAAGCAAAAAGTGTCCATGTAAACGTACCTATTGAGACACTTGAAATGTGTTGAAATGTCTTCTTTTGTGTTCCACAGAATAAGGAAAGTCCAACATAAAGGCGAGTAAATAATAACAGAAAGATCAACTCTGGTTGAATTGTCCCTTCAATGCATATACACCAGTGCTCAAACGTTTGGGGTCGGTGTTATTGTAGAAGCCCGTCCACACGGAGATGTGTACATTTTGTATCGTATCAGTGTTTAGTCCAGACGGATCCGGCGTTTTGGGAGCCTGAAACCGGGTCCCCGAGTGGATAAATCTGAAAACTAAACCCTTGCGTTTCCGTGTGTTCAGCCAATCCATATATTTTGTGAAACGATGATGTCATCACCCCACATCTTGACACTAGTCCAACACCACTACGTCACATAACAGCAACAACAACAACAACGGCGGACTACATGCTGCAGAAGCTACTGAGCCTATTAGCTTTACTAAAGCAAAAATGTTTGTATACAGTGCTCAAGGTTTATGCGTATTCTCCAAGTCTTCTTCTCTGCTTTTAAGGCCCCGATATACTTCAGGCGAAATCGCAGAACGAACTGATGTGACGTCATTTCGAACAAAATCCAGCCAAAACGAAGTTCGTTTTGAGAGTTCGAAACTGCTTGCCAAAGCTAACTTTACGGAAAAGTTCGTTCTGGCTGCAAGACACCTTCGTGCTACCATTGGTCCGTGACGATTACGTCATAGGAGGTGTGCGCTGAGGCTCCGCCTTCTTCGACACGAAACTCTTCTCTGGGTTCGTTTCGTCTGTCGAGTCCGCGGAGCTGAGATGTTCGCACAGCGGACAGCCGCTTCATAGTAGCAAATAAAGTTGTGCTTCTGATGAAATGAGACACTGTTTTTCATGTTTAATACTGCTGCTTGCTTTAAGCAATATATTGAATAAAGTGCCATGTAAATACACGTGACTTCACGGGAGTGCTAATTTGCAGAGCTTGTGCAAACATACCCATGTTGCTATGATCAGAATTTTATTAAAAAATGCTTGCTGTTCTCTCCATTTTTGTTGTGTTTATTTTGTTACTGAGAGGAAAGCGCGCAGCACATATTTACATATTCATCTAAATGCCGCTTTCAGCAGTGTTGGGATATTCACAAGCACAAAACTTATTTTTATCCCTAACCAAGGAATGAAAAAATAACTTCAGCATCAGTATATCGGGCCTTTTACACGTTTTGAGTCAGTTTCAGTGGTTTCGTGTGTACGCAAATAATTCTTGAGACGACGCCGTGTTTATGGAATATTTTTTTAGAACGAGGATAAAAAAAGTTTGGATAGGGAAAATGCTCTGGCTTTGTGTCGATGTGGCCTTAGTGTGTTTTAAAGAAAAATACAATAAAAATGTGAAATATTATTGCAATTTCAAACAGCTGTTTTCTATGTGAATCTCTGTTAAACTGTAATTTATTTCTGTGATGTGCAGCTGTATTTTCAGCATCATTACTCCAGTCTTCAGTGTCACATGATCTTCAGAAATCACTCTAATATGCTGATTTGCTGCTCGAGAAACATTTCTGATTATCATCAGTGTTGAATAAAATGTGATACTTAATTTTTTACATTTTGGAGTAAGTTTTTTTTTCTTCAATAAATTCATGCTTTTTTTTTCATAAAGGCTGCATTAAATGGATCAAAAGTAACAGTAGAGACATTTATAATGCTACAAAAGATTTATATTTCAAATAAATGCTGTTCTTTTGAACTTTCTATTCATCTGTGAATCCTGAAAAATAAAATGCATCACAGTTTCCACAAACTTTTCACCATAACATGATGTTCAACACAGAGTTTTCTGCACCTTCCTCCAGAGCGGACGCGCAGTGACTCTCATCAGAGGAGGAATAATCACAGTCCTTCGATTGCAGAGAAAAGCTAAATAATTTGCGAGAAAATCTGAACATTTCGGAGAGAGATCATGCTCACCGGACGTCCGCGTGACAAACTCATCAGCATCAGGTCCGGTGAAGCCGGAAGCGCCGCCTGCTGGCCGGAAGCGGAACTGCGCTGTGATCTGCGTGTCGTCCAGCAGGTGGCGCCAGATCTTCCTCTCCTTTAATACGAAAATCTCTTCCTGTTCAAACCAAACACTCAGTAATAAAGCGAGTGGCTGCCGTGTTCTGTTCTCATGTAAACATGTGTAGTGTTGCTTTAACAGACAATAATAAAATAACTTAATTCAGTCACTGAAATAGACATAATGGTCTTTCTGTTCACAATTATGCAGCTCTTGTTTGTGTGAGTTATTATTATTAATAGCGAGTAAGGTGACTCATTAGTTGCTGGTGTTTGTCTGAACCGGTCTGATCCGGTCAAAACCACAGCAAACACACCCAGGAGTGAATCACACACTGCCCAATCTCTCTCTCTTTGTTTTCAGTTCAATTCAATTTAAATAGCTTTATTGGCATGACAAAAATAAATTTTGTATTGCCAAAGCATGAACACAAAAAAGAAAATGGTTTATAAATTCTGAACATTTATTTATATATTATAACTAATATGTAATATGTAACTAAAAAGGAAATGCCGTATATACACACAGATACGT